GCGTGACGTATTCGTCGGAGCGCGGCGCTCGCGTCCGCGAATTGAATTGTTCTAGAACTTTCGATTGTCCGTTGCCGATAACGACAACTTGTTTACGTGTAACGAATTGTTTTAAAAAGAACAAAGAACGCCAAATCGCTTGCTTTTCTTTCGAATTATCGATCTCAAACACAGTATGACAGCCAGTAATCACTCCCGGTAGTGGCGACCTGACTGAAGATCATCAGCAGTACAAATAGCGTGAAATTATTGCCACCGTCATGCAGATATTCCTTGCACACTCTGCCGGCTATTCGACTGTGCCGTCATCTCGGCTTCCGGGATGTTCTCCACATAATCCGAATTAGTGTCTGAATGCTGCACGATGGCAAAATAATAATCTTATTACTTGAATTTATCTTTTTTAATAAATGTAATCTGAATAAAGTTAATTTAGTTTATAATAAATTATTTAAAAACGGAAAAAATAATGCTAAGAAAATTGCTCAGAAAATTATACTTCGAGGAGCCCTGAGTAAGGATTATGGAAGCTGTGCCGGGATTTAATTCTTTCAGTAGTAGACGTAATATAGACGATTTGCCTACTGCATCGACTATAGCACACAATTAACCTGGCTTGATAGTTAAGTTGATATTGCACAAAGTCAGCGTCAATTGGCCATTGATCCAATTGGCGGAAACCCGCTGAAGCTTTACATATACCGGATGGTCAGATAATCTTTGATATTCGGATAGAACAATATTCCCATTTCTCGAGATGTATCAATCTATAGTTGTCTGTACTAGTTGCTTCCTTCGGTTCCTGAGATTTAAACTGAGATTTAAATTCACAACTTCGTGTTTTCCGAGAAGCGTGTCATGTTCACTTCATCAATAAGCAAAAAATTCTGTAAAAATTAAGTACACTTTAATAAGTACGTGACAATAGAAATATAACAATACTTACAGATTTAAGTTCACCGTAAATTAGAAAATAATATGATAACATATACTTCCAATCTATTGAATGACACTATAAATTCACCCAGCAGTATTAGCCTTTGTGGAAAGTACAACGCGACGATGAGTTGAAGTATGTTAAAGTATGTCGACATTTCATAGGTCATATCGGGAGTCAAATTATTTCAAAAGTCATATCAGGAGTCAAATTATTTAGACGAACGTTATCAGGGATAACGTGAAGTAGACGGTCAATCGTTCAGTGAAGACTATGATGGCCAAATATGCGGCGCATACGACGAGAATTTGATTTACTTGATCTCCAACTTTCTGATTACTGATACCATCTGGCTGAATAGTTTCTCCCAGGTGTACATTTTCATCACCTGAACCGAGAATTACCATCTCATAAATTTGTTTCATAAATTTTTTTTATAAATGATACTTGGATGTTAATATTTTTATTCAGCTTTTATATCGTTCAAGAATAAAATAACTAAACAATTTCTTGAGGATACCTATATCCTAGCTATGAGTTCGCTTATCAGTTGCACTCTTCGGTCAGAGGCGCAAATGGTTCTGAGTTTGAGATTCAAGAAGCAAAGTCCCTTGTCCTGGGAGGACGATGATTAACAATGTCCCGATGCCGACAAAACTCGAAATACCGACTTTTTGCCACATTATTGTTCCTATAATAGCGATCTGCAAATAAAAATAAAGCCCGGTCAGCTTGAACAGACAATTATTTAAGAGTAAGTTCAAAACAAGTGAAAAGAAGATGTCTTACGTTTTTACAGTCTAAATTAATTCACGAAGTTGTAAAATGTATACAAATAGCTTATATGCATATATAATCTATAATAGGTTTTCTACGAATTATACTACAATTATTAAAATTTATACTTATCAAGAATCTACAAAAGAGATTAATAAATTTAAGTAACTTTTTTCAAGAGTATGATCAAAGTGCTGTTTAATTACCAATAGAATTGAAAATAATAATAATAATTGAGTAATAGATCTTTTCACTTTCTTTCGCTCCGTCCATACATTCATCAATACATACAAGCACAACATGAATTTTTCTTTGATTGATTTTCACAAAAAAGATACACAAAACTCTATGAAAACTGTAAAAAAAACTGAATAAAGCAGCTTAATATATATTAGAATCATTCATCTCATAATCAACATCTCTGATTGTGAGATACACACATTCCCTTACATGCTTATTCTCTTTTTGTATATTATTATTAATAATAGTATTTGTATAAGTATGTTTCTATGATTTTATAATGTTTAATAATTTTGATTATTAAATTATAAAATTTATTTAATTATGAAATTATAAAAAAATTATAAAAAAGTTTTCTACTTGTTATTGCAACAAATTGCAATTTTTTACTTAACTAAGATTTTTATCTGTTTATAGTTTCCCGGTAAACAATTTTTTTATGTAATCATATTTCATATATAAAAACATCACTATACAAAATTATGTAAAAATTTACATAATTATGTATAATTTATTATAAAATTAAATGTGGACACATTCCGTATACATATATAAATCTTTGGAATATGTGTTATAATATTATATTTCAAAAAGTATTTGAATGCTGAACAAAATTATTGTTCTAGAATTTTTTGCAGAATCTAACGCGTTCAAAATATAAAATAACAAGTCAATAAAAATAACTTAATCTTTTTAATTTCTATAGTTACTTGAAAATTTCAGAGCAAAATTTATAATACATATTTTTTTAACATTTAATTTTTCTTTTAAAAATTGTAATTATTAATAATCTATAAATTGATATTATTATACTTTTTATCAGGTATAATGTTGTTCTTTTAATAAATGTATAATTGCAGGTAAAATGTTGTGTGATCAATTACTGACAAATAATTTCCTGTCTTTAAAGTTTGGTGATCTGTTCTAATTTAAAACCTTTTATGTTTCAATTTTTGTAGCAAAATCGAAATATTTTTTGTAATATTTTCTTGTAATATGCAATATTGTATTTGTAATATTAATTTCAAAAATATAATAAATGAATATTTGGCTATCTTTCATAGCTATAATACTTGGCTATCTTATAATTTGGCTATCTTTCATAGCCAACATAGGTATAATCTTCAATGTCTACCAATAACACGTTTGATAGTATAATATTCATCA